GATGATGTATACAAAGAGGAGGCATAGAAGAGAATTCAGCAGCTAAGTAAGATAACTAAATTTTCCTCCCACTTAAACTTTTCTCTGAAATCCCAACTACCATTATTTCAAGTTATTGCATGCATCTTCAGAAGACTAAGGTTAATTTAAATGTAGATGTGCTTTACTGAAAATGTTACATATAAAATTATCAACACATTAGTGTTGATTTATTTGTGGAAGGGAGGATACAATGGGAGGCCTTCTGCATTAGAAATAAGAATGGAATTTTGTAAAAGGCGAAGTCAGGTAGAAGGGAGTTGACAGAATGCTCTGGATTTATTCTGCAGCTCCTTCAAAGATAAGCAGTGTAGCACTGGGGAAGTTATTTAACATTACAATGCTCAAATTAGTCCAGAACAGGATTAACATTAAATGGAAAATAAAAGTAAAAGTCCTATTGAGCCTATTGGTGTGCAATAAATAGAAGCCATAATTTGTTGCTGTTATTATTGTTTTTAGAATTATGGCATAGGGAGATCAACTTTGGAGTGGTGGAATATGAATCTCAGTGACCACTTTCCCACAAAAGCAGTGAAAATACTGGCACAGCAACCAAAACCAGCCATTTTAGAGCCCCATAAATTAATCAAAATCACAGGAAAAAATGGAAAATTGTCTATTAAAGAGAAACTTCTGAATCTCAGAAAGACAACAGAGTCTGTACATATCACTATTCCCTTTCTCTCTGCCTCTCTGCCAGCTCATTGGCATGGTAGTTGTAAAAGATGTGCAGACTCACAATGAATGGAGAGCATAGACCTCTTTGGATACTCTGTTGAGAACTCTATCCCAAGAGTACTGTCAATATTTTGTCAAAACTAACAGTACTTGAAAATTTTCATTCCCTAAGTGCTGTGGCCACTTGATTTGACTCAGAGCTCAGCTCATCTAAAAAAATAAATTTAAGAAGTAGTATCACCAGGGCATTATAGAAAAAAATGGAAATATTCTGACAATGTTATATCTGCCTAAGTGTAATATCAGTTAGTACAAACAAAAGACCAAGCCAAAAAAGAAAAAAAATAATTAAAGCAAGACCTAGATACAGGGAACTTTGAAAACCTCCAGCAAATTCCTAGGGATCTATGTGCAGGGTTGTGTGCATGCCCAGAAAAGACCTAGGAAAAAATGTCTCAGTCACTCACCTCTAGCTTTGAGAAATTGTGAAAGCAGAAAATTAAAGCTAAGGCTGTCTAAAGTTTGAAGTCATGCCTTCACACACAGATTTCCTTGGCAAAGGTAGAAAGAAAAACAGGCAAGGCATTTAAGGAAACATTCTGGCTGATTATTGGCTGGCCACGAAATTATAACAAACCAAAGGTGAACCCTAGGAGACCATGCTTGAAAACAAAAATAAGAACATAAAATCAACAACAACATAAAGCTAGCAGAGAACTCAGGGACTACATACTGTGGGGAATACAGATTTACTAACTAGTCTGGAAGAGTCACTAAGGAAATAAATAAGAAGAAAAATAAGAACAAAACCTAAAACCCAGGAACAACCATAACCCCTGGAGTGGAGAGAGGGTTGTGATATTAGGGTTTTTACAATAAATTATCTAAAATGTTTGGCTCCAATGAAAAATTACAAAACCTCCAAATAAACAGGAAATCACTGTGCCTCTCATGAATAAATAAAATAAAATCTTTTAAAAAAGAAACAGGAAATCACATCACATACACAGGAATAAAAACTGTAAATAGAATAATCCTTGAAGAATCCCAGATGTCAGGTATTCTACATGCATTCAAAGAACTAAAATAAATCATGTCCAAGGAATTAGAGGCAAGGAAAGTCTGACAACTAGGTGTCCTTGAATAGAGAATATCTGTAAAAATAAATTATTAAAAAGAAATCAATTCCAGTTCTGGAGTTGAGAAGTATGACTGAAATAAAAGATTCGCTAGCCAGCTACAAACAACAGATTTGGGGAGTCAGAAGAAAATATCAGCAGACTTGAAGGTAGGCCAGTAAAGATTATTTAGTAAGAGGAACAAAATGAAGACTGAATGGATAAAAATGTGTAGAAACCCATACACCAGTGACACATCAAGAAAATTACCAATATACATTTAATGGAAGTCTCCGAGGATAAAAGCAGAGAAATAAGGCCAAAATTATTTGAAAAAGTAACAACCAAAAGAAGCTCAGCAAACTCCAATGAACTCCAAGAAATCCATACCTATCCACAGCAGAGTCAACTTGACAATTTCTCATCAGAAGACAGGTAACAGTTTCAAAATTTTGAAGGAAAAAAGACTGTCAACCAGTAATTCTATAACTTGCAAAATTCTTCTTCAAAAATGCAGGAGAATCAGAAGATAAGTCATAGAATGGCAGATAATATCTGTAAAACATATGCCTGATAAAAGACTTGACCCAAAATATACAGATGATTCTTAAGACTCAACAATATGAAAACAAATAACCCAGTAAATAAATAAGAAAAAAATATGGATACCTCACCAAGAAAGACATATATGGCCAATAAACCCAGGCAAAGATGTTCATATCTTCAGTAATTAAGGAAATGCAAATTAAATAGCAATGTACTACTTCACAACCCCTATATGACTATTATAAAGACAGATATTAGCAAATGCTGGAGATGATATGGAGAAATTGGAAACCTCATACATTACAGGTAGTGTTTTAAGGTATAGCCTTGAAAAACAGTCTAACAGTTCCTCAAAAATTTTAAATAGAGAGTAAACTCATGCCTTAACAATGTCACTCCTATTTATATACCCAAGCAAACTGAAAACTTAAGTCAGCACAAAATCTCATACACAAGTGTTCATAAATGTTGAGCAAGTGAGTGGGTAATACCATTATTTGATTAGGTAGAAGGAGGAGAAACAAGTTTGGGTTAAGGAAAGTGAAATCTGCTTTGCAACAAGATGTGAATCTTTTTAAAAGCTTTCTTAAGGATCTGGGAGTCATATATTTCAAATGTAATCAAGAAAGATAATATCCCAATCTCCTACTTTCTGTAGGAAGATAATACCCTAATTCAATGGGGGCCTTGCTCCAAGTTGCAAAACTACTTGTCATAAAAATATATGAAGTCTTTGCTTATTTAAAAAGAAAACACTAATGTTCCATAACAGCATTATTCGTAAGAACATAGAAGTGACTCAAACAAACTACCTATCAACTGACAAATGGATAAGTAAAATATGGTATATTCAAGTAGTGGGATGTTACTGGGTAATGAATAAGAACAAAATACCAACAGGGACTACCATATAAGTGAACCTTGAATACAATATACTAAGTGAAGGACATCAGTTCAAAAGATAACATGTGTGATTCCATTTATATGAAATGTCCAGAACAGGCAAATCTATAGACAGAAAATTCTGTCTTGACATATTAATGGATGCCAAGAACTGGATGAGATAGGTGATGTGTTGCAATGTGTCTAAGGAAGGGGAACGGAGAGTGACAGCTAGTGGGTCTGGGGTTTCATTTTGGAATGGTGAAAATATTCTAAAATTGGGATAATAGTGGTACCACTCTAAAAATATACTGAAAACTACTGAACTGCATATGTTTTATGTATGCAAATTGCACCTCAACAAAGCTATTTAATAAAACAAGTTAAAAAGAGAGAATTAAGGTGTAAAGTACTTTTTCTGATTATGATAGTCTAATAGGAAAATAAAACAGGACAGTGGCTTATGACCAAGTAAAATGTTTGGTTACTTCATAAAAACGTCTGGGGCTGAGTCTTAGTGCCTTGATATCAATATTAATATCTCAGCAATGGTGACAATAATTTCACAGAACAATACACAATCAGAAAGCATGGGACATATCTGTGTTCTATTTTAGCCTTTGAATGAGGGAGCCAATTTAGCACTGATGGGAAGAAAGGGAAAATACCAAGAAGGCATATTGTCTTTAAGAGTTTTGCAAACTGATCTCTGCAATGTCTAATTAGAAATTTCCAACCACTTTATTAACATGTTTGTAGAAGTATGCACTTTTAATATTCAGGAGGTTAGTGAATACATTTCCTCCTACCAGTTATGCAATCAGTGTCTATATGAATCCATGAAGGTCTAATAATACCAATGCTGTCATGTGTTGGGTGACAACATGGGATCCAGGCATGCCCCAGGGAGCAGACCTGACCATAGAGCTTGGAGACAGTACAGTACTCCAGAAAGGAAGTGTTATCCCAGAAGTGGGGATCCAGGAGTTGATCCAGTCATTAGGACAAATGGGGAGAGACTGGGGTCCTAGTAACAACACCTGTCCATGACACCTGTCTCTGGGTAGGTTGCCACACTAGGCTTATGGCAGCAGAAACACACCAGCATCTTGCTTCCTAGAGTAATGAATAAGAATAAGCACTGGTCTCTAATAATGGTCAAAGCTCACTGATCAGAACTAGAGACTGATATCAGAGCAGGACTGAAAGTCAGTGGACTTCTGGAATCCTGGAGTGATTGCCTTATTAAATTTGTCTTTCCTAAGATCTGAATGGACTAAATTCTGGGGAAGGGTGAATGTGTGATAGATGTAGGCTGGGTAGTTAGATTTCAGAGTCTGGGAACTAGTGGCACTCTGACCAGCATCTCTACTCTTTGAAAGTTGACCACAGCCTATGGTGACTGAAAGTGGCTCTCCAAGGCTAAAGAAATAAAGACAGTAGCACCCTTATATGCTGTGCCCACACAAATAATGACCAGGCTTATGACTGTGAACATTTTGCTGATGAAGATCTCTTTGGGTTGAGAGGCCTTTACTAATTAACCTTTGAGTTTTAGTGTTTTTGAGGAAATTTTTGAGAATAAATACAGCCTAAAATTTTAACCTCTGTTCATGATCAGAATTATAATTTTGACTTTTATAATTTTTTATTTTATTAACCTATTTTATTTTATAATTTTTTGTTTTATAAACCTATATTTTCAAGTGTTTGTTATTTGTTCTGTATTTTCAGATGGCTATCCTAAAGAAGAAATGATTTATAGATGGAGAAAAAATTCAGTTGAGGCAGCTGATCAGAAATCATGGCGGCTTTATCAGTTTGATTTTATGGGCCTCAGAAACACAACAGAAATCGTAACAACATCTGCAGGTAGGATTTAATTTAAGGAAGCATGACTTGCAAAAAAATCTGACTTTTTTCCTCTGATGCCTGAGGCATAATCATGCCTTTAATGTAGAATTCCATCATGTATGTGTTTTAACTAATGATATTAGGGCAAGCATATTACATCAGTGATGTTTGAGGCAAAACAACAGATTCAATACTGAAGTTTTTTTAATGTTTTAATTAGGATGAAAAAAGGATCATGAGAAATGTCTTATATTTTTAAATAAAGACTGTTTGCATCATGTCAATAAACTTAACTAGAATTCCCACAAGTGACCATATTTCTATAAACTGCTTTTTACTAATGACTAATGATGAGAGTTCTACAACTTTCCACATACATAATAAGAATAAAATATTGTTAAGACTCTGGGCATAAAAGAAGCTGGTGTGAAATGTCCTTTGAGTTTTAATTTCCAGCTTCTTTCTTTGCCCTAAACTTTATTTTGAGCTTTGTATTTCTTCTCCAATTTATTGAACATAATAATTATCCACCAATTTGATTTTACTAAGTGGTCATTTTATACATAGTATGAAGTATATGATTAGATGAAAAGAGATGTTTCATCTCTTAATGTATTTGAATGCTTTGGGGATTTTGTTTATGTTTCATAGGGGTTTTTTTCTTTGTGAGTGTTTCTCACAAACATTCCTATGATCCACTATTTTGCAACTAATTTTCTTTTGCCAGAGTGTGGGGGTAAAGATGGATTTAGAGCTAGCTTTCCTACTGATCAGATTGTTAATATGAAGAGTTTACTGGCTCTTAACACTCCATAACAGTTTGTTTCACTGACGACTAAGATGTAAACTTTGATAATCAGTGGTAAATATCTTTAAAAGATAGTCTGAATTCTTTATAGGGTTGTAAAATATAGAACATTTACATGTTAAGAAAAGTCTGAAAAGCTATCTGATTCGCAGAGAAAAGCAAAACTTCCCTATCGACGTCATGGCGGTAAAGGTGAGAAATGTCATCCGTGTTTAAATATTAAGCAATGATAAGGTTAAAAGAATAGAAGATCATAATTTATTTAAATAATCTGTGGAGGCAGTAAGAAGGGAAGTGTTTTGGAGAAACTTTTTCCCAATTATGAGTCACCTACATTAAGAATGTGGTTTTGCTCCCTGAAAGGTTAAAATGCACTAGCAGACCTTTAGGTATAAGGCATTGTATACATATGCCACATCTTTATCCATTCATCTTTCGATGGACACTGAGGCTCCTTCCACAGCCATTAGAAACAATGAATACCCATAATTTGCTTCAACATGGATACAACTGGAGGGTATAATGCTGAGCAAAGTAAGTCAGTCAGAGAAGGACAAACATTATATGATCTCATTCAACCTAACCAAAGAGGTAAAGGATCTATCCCCTAAACACTACAGAACACTTCTGAAAGAAATTGAGGAAGACCCAAAGAGATGGGAAAATATTCCATGCTCATGGATTGGAAGAATTAATATTGTGAAAACGTCAATGTTACCCAGGGCAACTGACACATTTAATGCAATCCCTATCAAAATACCATGGACTTTCTTCAGAGAGTTGGAACAAATCATCTCAAGATTTGTGTGGAATCAGAAAAGACCCCAAATAGCCAGGGGAATTTTAAAAAAGAAAACCATAGCTGGGGGCATCACAATGCCAGATTCCAGGTTGTACTACAAAGCTGTGGTCATCAAGGCAGTGTGGTACTGGCACAAAAACAGACACATAGATCAATGGAACAGAATAGAGAATCCAAAAGTGGACCCTCAACTTTATGGCCAACTAATATATTTGACAAAGGAGGAAAGAGTATCCACTGGAAGAAAGACAGTCTCTTCAATAAATGGTGCTGGGAAAATTGGACATCCACATGCAGAAGAATGAAACTCGACCACTCACTTGCACCATACACAAAGATAAACTCAAAATGGGTGAAAGATCTAAATGTGAGACAAGATTCCATCAAAATCCTAGAGGAGAACACAGGCAACACCCTTTTTGAACTCGGCCACCGTAACTTCTTACAAGATACATCCACGTAGGCAAAAGAAAGAAAAGCAGAAATAAACTATTGGGACTTCATCAAGATAAGAAGCTTTTGCACAGCCAAAGAAACAGTCAACAAAACTAAAAGACAACCTACAGAATGGGAGAAGACATTTGCAAATGACTTATCAGATAAAGGACTAGTATCCAAGATCTATAAAGAACCCATTCTGGGAATATTAAAAAAAAATAGTGAAAGAGAATAAAGGGGAAAGGAGAGAAAATGAGTGGGAAATATCAGAGAGGGTGACAGAACATGAGAGACACCTAATTCTGGGAAACGAACAAGGGATAGTAGAAAGGGAGGTGGGTGGGGGGTTGGGGTGACTGGGTGATGGGCACCGAGGGGGGCACTTGACGGGATGAGCACTTGACGTTATGCTATATGTTGGCAAATCAAACTCTGATAAAAACATATACAAAAAAAAAAGATGTGGATATTCCTGGAACAGACTGTCATCCTCTCTGGGCTCGGACCTAGTTTGCAGGGACATGGCTAAATGCACCAAGAAATCAGAATTCTGGGTAAATACAAGACCTGTTATGGTGCCTCCCTCAGGAAAATGGTGAAGAAGATTGAAATAAGTGCACCAAGTGCACTTGCTCCCTCTATGACAAAACCAGGATGAAAAGATGAGCTGTGGGCATCTGGCACTGTGGCTCCTGCATGAAAACCATAGCCGGTGGTGCCTGGACCAACAGCACCACTTCTGCCATCACAGTGAAGTCCGCCATCAGGAGACTGAAGGAGTAGAAAGACCAGTAGAAGTTCCACCATTTGAAACATAGCTAGCCTATAATAAATGGGTTAATTACATAATAAAAAAGATACAGAGGTTCCTAAAAAAGTTAGACATAATACTATCATATGACCCAAAAATTGCTCTACTAGGTATTTACTCAAAGGATACAAACACAGCAATTTGAAGGGGCACATGCATTCTAATGTTTATAGCAGCAATGTCTACAATAGCCAAAATATGGGAGAGCCCAGATGTCCATTGACAGATGAATGGATACAGAAGATGTGGTGTACACACACACACACACACACACACACACAGTAGAATATTACTCAGCCATCAAAAAAGTAAAATCTTACTATTTGCACTGATATGGTTGGAGCTAGTGTATTATGCTAAGTGAAAACAGAGAAAAACAAATACCACATAATTTCACCCATATGTAGAATTTAGGACACAAAACTGATGAACAGGGGGAAGGGAAGGAAAAAAGTATCTTTAGGTGTAAGGCAGCCCAAAGGTGGGTAACTAAATAAGGGGATAATGTTCTAGCATTTAAATGCCAAATGTCGATGCTGGATTTTTTCTTTCTTGGTATTCTCTGAAAACTGATGTTAAAGGAGACACTGCAAAAGCAAGTAAAACACAACTGCCATGGGGTTTTGAAATTGAATATAAGAATACCAGCACAGGGAAACAGAGGGGCCTGTGGAGTCAAGGTAATAGTATGAGCAATTATGTGCTAAGTGATCCTTTTACCAGACAGAGAACTGGTTCCAAACTCAGATACAGCTACTTGCTGCTGGAAAATCAATACTCAAGAGACATGTGATGGTGGGAGAAGAAAGTTTGCTTTATTCAGGAAGCCAGCAGCCAGGAAGATGGTGGACTAACATCTCAAAGATCTTCTTTTCTGTCCAGCTGAAGCTGGAAGGTTTTAAAGGGAAAGACATAGGAAAAGGGAGGGGAGCTCCATCCAGGAGAAGCAGGTGCCTGGTGGCTAGTTCTCTGTGCACAGGATCCTAAATATATTTGCTGGCATCAGTGGCAGTTGTTTTCAAATGTAGTCAAGCCTTATCTTCTGGGAAAGTTTGGCCCTTCACTCCTCAAACTCAGTGGTCTGCAAATTTCAAGGAAAGTAAGTTCATTCTGCTACATTTTAAAGAATTTAGTTCCACAAACAAGGAGTACATAAGCTTGAAGCAAGTTAACCCTTCAGATGGATTGGAGTGCTGTTAAATTCTGTGGGTATACAAACAACATGGAAACATTCACTTGCAGCAAGGAGCTTTCGGTCTAGAAAAACATGATAGATATGAGAGACTTATGAACAAACTAAGAGTTTATACACCAGCATAGAAAATAGACATTATATTAAGTGAAATTGTAAGAAAAAATGGAAGCAATGTTTAGGACAGTCCTTTATGAGTAAGAAATGACTGTTTTCCAGGATTTTATTTTGTCATTCTTTTTCCATGAAGTCAATGAATATATTGGCAGTGATAGATGAATGTTCTCCATATGCTCCTCTTCTATTTTTATACGAAACTTCTCCCATTTTTATATGAAAATTCACATTATATTGAATCTTATAAATCATTCCTTCTCCTTTAGAAAATAAGCAAAAGGGATCTGCCTTTGGCTCAAGGTGTGATCCTGGAGTTCCGGGATCAAGTCCCACATCTGGCTCCCTGCATAGAGCCTGCTTCTATGTCTCTGCCTCTGTGTGTGTGTCTCATGAATAAACAAATAAAAGCTTTTAAAAAAGAAACTAAGCAAAAAAATATATTCTAAAGAAATTAATCTGTATAAAAAAAAACCTAAACTTGCTTACCTGTAATATATAGATACTGTTTGAAGATGGGAGTGAGATGTAAATGATGGATTTTTCACTCTTTGTTTCTAAACTTCTCATGGGCCCAAGGTAGTCACCATCCTCCCATGCCTGTCTTTAGCAGCCTGGAATATTCTATGTCATTTCCCCAGTGGAAAATCCTGAAATCATTAAAATCACTCTTTTTTAAAAAAAAAAAAATTAATAATAAATTTATTTTTTATTGGTGTTCAATTTGCCAACATACAGAATAACACCCAGTGCTCATCCCATCAAGTGCCCCCCTCAGTGCCTGTCACTTAGTCACCCCCACCCCCTGCCCTCCTCCCCTTCCACCACCCCTAGTTCATTTCCCAGAGTTAGG